TTAGGCCACCCTGCCTTGGTGAGAGACAGACGATGTGTTAATAACAATAAAAATAAATTCTCTGCATAATATTCACACCACACATTGCCCTCAGACACAACATTTCCACTGCCTCCAGCCTCCTCCTCACTGTAGCATTTACACCCCATGCTTCACACACATATAAGTATGTTGGTAAAAATTAACTGTGTCAGCTCCCATTTTGTATTTGATTCCCCATAATTTCATCCCACCTCTCTCCCAACACCCTAGCATTTATTTCTTTTACAACTCCATCTATAAATATGTTAAAGAACCATGGTGACATTATGCATCCCTGTCTAAGACCTACTTTTATTGGGAAGTAATCTCCCTCTCTCCTACACACCCTAACCTGAGCCTCACTGCCCTTATAAAAACTCTTTACAACATTTAGTAACTTACTACTTATTCTATACACTTGCAACATCTGCCACATTGTTCCCCTATCCACCTTATCATATTCATTTTCTAAATCCATAATTTTATTATTATTATTAACACACTGGCCGATTCCCACCAAGGCAGGGTGGCCCGAAAAAGAAAAACTTTCACCATCATTCACTCCATCACTGTCTTGCCAGAAGGGTGCTTTACACTACAGTTTTTAAACTGCAACATTAACATCCCTCCTTCAGAGTGCAGGCACTGTACTTCCCATCTCCAGGACTCAAGTCTGGCCTGCCAGTTTCCCTGAATCCCTTCATAAATGTTACTTTGCTCACACTCCAACAGCACGTCAAGTATTAAAAACCATTTGTCTCCATTCACTCCTATCAAACACGCGCACGCATGCCCGCTGGAAGTCCAAGCCCCTTGTACACAAAACCTCCTTTACCCCCTCCCTCCAACCTTTCCTAGGCCGACCCCTACCCCGCCTTCCTTCCACAACAGACTGATACACTCTTGAAGTCATTCTGTTTCGCTCCATTCTCTCTACATGTCCAAACCACCTCAACAACCCTTCCTCAGCCCTCTGGACAACAGTTTTGGCAATCTCGCACCTCCTCCTAACTTCCAAACTACAAATTCTCTGCATTATATTCACACCACACATTGCCCTCAGACATGATATCTCCACTGCCTCCAGCCTTCTCCTTGCTGCAACATTCATCACCAATGCTTCACACCCATATAAGAGCATTGGTAAAACTATACTCTCATACATTCCCCTCTTTGCCTCCAAGGACAAAGTTCTTTGTCTCCACAGTCTCCTAAGTGCACCGCTCACCCTTTCCCCCTCATCAATTCTATGATTCACATCATCTTTCATAGACCCATCCGCTGACACGTCAACTCCCAAATATCTGAATACATTCACCTCCTCCATACTCTCTCCCTCCAATCTGATATCCAATCTTTCATCACCTAATCTTTTTGTTATCCTCATAACCTTACTCTTTCCTGTATTCACTTTTAATTTTCTTCTTTTGCATACCCTACCAAATTCATCCACCAACCTCTGCAACTTCTCTTCAGAATCTCCCAAGAGCACAGTGTCATCAGCAAAGAGCAACTGTGACAACTCCCACTTTATGTGTGATTCTTTATCTTTTAACTCCACGCATCTTGCCAAGACACTCGCATTTACTTCTCTTACAACCCCATCTATAAATATATTAAACAACCACGTTGACATCACACATCCTTGTCTAAGGCCTACTTTTACTGGGAAATAATCTCCCTCTTTCCTACATACTCTAACTTGAGCCTCACTATCCTCGTAAAAACTCTTCACTGCTTTCAGTAACCTACTTCCTACACCATACACCTGCAACATCTGCCACATTGCCCCCTTATCCACCCTGTCATATCGCCTTTTTCAAATCCATAAATGCCACAAAAACCTCTTTAGCCTTATCTAAATACTGTTCACTTATATGTTTCACTGTAAACACCTGGTCCACACACCCCCTACCTTTCCTAAAGCCTCCTTGTTCATCTGCTATCCTATTCTCCGTCTTACTCTTAATTCTTTCAATAATAACTCTACCATACAGGTATACTCAACAGACTTATCCCCCTATAATTTTTGCACTCTCTTTTGTCCCCTTTGCCTTTATACAAAGGAACTATGCATGCTCTCTGCCAATCCCTAGGTACCTTACCCTCTTCCATACATTTATTAAATAGTAGCACCAACTACTCCAAAACTATATCCCCACCTGCTTTTAACATTTCTATCTTATCACAACAAACCCAGCCGCCTTACCCCCTTTCATTTTACCTGCCTCACGAACTTCCCCCACACTCACAACTGGCTCTTCCTCACTCCTACAATTTGTTATTCCTCCTTGCCCTATACACGAAATCACAGCTTCCCTATCTTCATCAACATTTAACAATTCCTCAAAATATTCCTTCCATCTTCCCAATACCTCTAACTCTCCATTTAATAACTCTCCTCTCCTATTTTTCACTGACAAAATCCATTTGTTCTCTAGGCTTCCTCAACTTGTTAATCTCACTCCAAAACTTTTTCTTATTTTCAACAAAATTTGTTGATAGCATCTCACCCATTCTCTCATTTGCTCTCTTTTTACATTGCTTCACCACTCTCTTAACCTCTCTCTTTTCTCCATATACTCTTCCCTCCTTGCATCACTTCTACTTTGTAAAAACTTCTCATATGCTAACTTTTTCTCCCTTACTACTCTCTCTCCATCATCATTCCACCAATCGCTCCTCTTCCCTCCCGCACCCACTTTCCTGTAACCACAAACTTCTGCTGAACACTCTAACACTACATTTGTAAACCTACCCCATACCTCTTCGACCCCATTGCCTATGCTCTCATTAGCCCATCTATTCTCCAATAGCTGTTTATATCTTACCCTAACTGCCTCCTCTTTTAGTTTATAAACCTTCACCTCTCTCTTCCCTGATGCTTCTATTCTCCTTGTATCACATCTACCTTTTACTCTCAGTGTAGCTACAACTAAAAAGTGATCTGATATATCTGTGGCCCCTCTATAAACATGTACATCCTGAAGTCTACTGAGCAGTCTTTTATCTACCAATACATAATCCAACAAACTATGTACTGTCATTTCGCCCTACATCATATCATGTATACTTATTTATCCTCTTTTTCTTAAAATATGTATTACCTATAACTAAACCCCTTTCTATACAAAGTTCAATCAAAGGGCTCCCATTATCATTTACACCTGGCACCCCAAACTTACCTACCACACCCTCTCTAAAAGTTTCTCCTACTTTAGCATTCAGGTCCCCTACCACAATTACTCTCTCACTTGGTTCAAAGGTGCCTATACATTCACTTAACATCTCCCAAAATCTCTCTCTCTCCTCTACATTCCTCTCTTCTCCAGGTGCATACACGCTTATTTTGACCCACTTTTCGCATCCAACCTTTACTTTAATCCACAATCCTTGAATTTGCACATCCATAAATGGGATGAAAACTTCCCTACCTTGATCTAAATATTTTTCACATACATGCTTTATTGTAATCACTTGATCTACACCTCCCCTACCCATTGTAAAGCCTCCTTGTTCATCTGAAATACTGCTCTCTGTCTTACCTCTAATTCCCTCAATAATAACCCTACCATACTCTTTACCTAGTACACCTACCATCTGACTTACGACCTACTCGACATACGACCACTCGACTTATGACCATGCTTTTTATGCCAGATTTCTGGGAAATAAACAACTGTTTGTGTTGTACACTGTTATACCTTATGGTATAAAATACAGTACTAACAGCATAAATAGTAAAGTAAAAAATGAAATACCAAAATAAAACAATAAAATAAAATCATTACAAAAGTGTGATGTTGATATTCAATAGTAAGATTCGACTTACGTCCATTTTGACTTACGACCGGTTGGTCGGAACCAAGCTTGGTCGTAAGTCGGATGATACCTGTATACTCAGTAAACTTATTCCCCTATATTTTTTACAATCTCTTATGTCCCCCTTCCCTGTGCACTGAGGAACTATATGTGCTCTCTGCCAATCCCTAGGTACCTTCTCCTCTTTCATACATTTATTGAACAAAAATACCAACCACTCCAACACTATATCCCCCCCTGCTTTTAACATTTGTCATAATCCCATCAGTTCCAGCTGCTTTACCCCCTTTCATTCTATGTAATGCCTCATCCATCTCCCCCACACTCACATCCGGTTTTTCTTCACTCCTAAAAGATGTTATACCTCCCTGGCTTATACTAAAGTAAATTAAATAAATAAATAAATAGATATAACATCACATCGAACACCTAAAATCACTAGTGTCCATTTACTGCCCCATTTAAGATGATATTAGAGGTCCACTAGATGCCCGACACTAAAGAAGTGCAAAATAAAACATTCTGGTGCCTCCACACAGTCACTTCAGTGTGTGCCCATCTGAACCCTCTGTCTTACCAGTACCAACACAAGTCTCATGAAACCTAAGCATTCACATAGAATGAACAATGGGCAACATAAAAGTTCACCTAGGTTGTTACTGATCACCTAGGAATTAATTTCTCAGAATTCTAAGTACATTACTGTCCTAAGTTTATTTTTCAACTGTCAAGTACAGTATACAATACCAATGTCTCTAAAATTATATAGCAAACTAGGTAGGTAGGGGTGTGTGTGTGTGTGTGTGTGTGTGTGTGTGTGTGTGTGTGTGTGTGTGTGTGTGTGTGTGTGTGTGTGTGTGTGTGTGTGTGTGTGTGTGTGTGCGCGTGCGTGCGTGCGTGCATGCGTGCGTGCGTGCGTGCATGCGTGCGTGTGTGGAGGGGGGTCTCTTTCAGGGTTTACGATCTTCTCATGTGCACAGGTGGTAAGAATGCTTGTCAAAACATTTGTATCTCATATACACAACTCCATGAATTACTGTCAATAGCATGTTTTTACAGCTCATGTCTGTTTACATAAAAATTTAACAGTAGACTTAGCTTTACCAAAAACAATCAACTCTTATCAAATATTCTGAACAGGAGAAGTAACTGGTTACCTTGGGAAAGGAATGGTGACAGTTTCCCAGCCAAACTTGACAACAATGAGCAGTTCTGTGGTGACAATAGCCAGGAAGAGCCATGACTGTCGTCCAAACTTCATACAGTCACTGTAAGTTTAATATCTCATTACAATGGATTACAAACTTCAGTATACACTTAATTACTACGGACAACATACGAAATATACTAAACAATTAAGTGAACAATGCTGGAACCTGAATTGTGATGGTTGTGCATTTCAGACAAGATGGGTAGTAAATGAATGATGGTGAATGCTTCTTTTTCTATCATACATTATCTTCATGGGAGACAGTCAGTGTGGAGAAACAACAACACATCTGAACCTTTCAAAAGCATTTTTGCTAATTCCTTCACCTTGGATAAGAGTATAGTAACAGTTTTAACCCTTTCAGGGTCCGTGCCGTAGATCTACGCCATGAGCTCAGCTCACTCTGATAAGCTGTGAGTGGTAAATTTGGGCCTAGATATGAGAGAATACATCTTTGTGGTACGTGTGCACCACATAAAGCAAATCCTGCAGCACACAGTGTATAATGAGAGAAAAAACTGAAACTGTGATTTTTTATTAAAACAGTGACTTGCAGTGTTTTCTCGTATATTTTTTATAGTTGTATTTGTGATTTCTTGGTCTCATTTGATAGAATGGAAGATATATTACAGAAAAAGAGATAATTTTGATTGGTATTAGCACTGGAAATTACTTGAAACTGAGCTCAATATAGCAGAAATGTTAATTTTTTGTCGATGTTCAAACAAACGACCTCACATGTCTCATACACGCCAGCTGGTGGGTCTAATATACATTCACAAATGTGGTGATGATATTTATACAATTATTACAATATTGCATAACAATAAATCTTCTATTTTTTGGTTTGAATAAAAATTCATTATGTGAATAAAAAATCAAAATGGAATTCATTTGTAAAGCCTCAAAACGTAACTAATGAACAGAGGAAATGTTAGTTTAGTGCCAGGAATGTCTGCATTGTTTATTCTGGACCCTATTTTGAAATTGGAATATTTTGAACTTTGTGTTAAATTGGGCAAATTACCAATTTCCGATGACTTTATTTTGTAGTTGAAACAGTTGACTGGGCAATTTATGGGTGCTCAATTGATAGAATAGAAGTAATACTAGTGAAATAGCTAAGAATTTGGTTGACTGGAATAATGTAATTGGCCTAAAATGGGAGACAAAGTCGTCAAAATCGCCGATTCATAATTATCGCTGACACATCAAAATTCGCGAGAGCATAATTTCGTCAATTTTCCATCAAATATCATACTTTTTGTATTATTACCTTCAGAAAAAGATTCTCTACCACTTCTTAAGAAAAAATAATTTTTTTTTTTTTTGAAAATTCTTGGACTTTGGGGCAAAAAACTTTTAAATTTGGCCTCTTGGGCCCTTTAAAGGGGTTTAAAACCCTAAAATTACCACAAAAAGACCAGTGTCCCCTTTTTCACCGGGGGGGGGGTCCTTTTCCCTATTAGTATCTCTCCCACCAATCCTCACAACACTACTATCTCACCCCAAATATCTCTCACACCAGGGGTCCCCACAAAAATCTCTCACCCTTGTAAACTCTCACACAAAAATTTTCTCTCACACATCCCCTTTCACACCAAATGTCCCCCCAAACAAGTGCCTCACACCCCCTAGTATCTCTCTACCCCGTGTCCCCACTAGTATCCCTCCCCCATGTCCCCTCACACTAGTGTCTCCCCACACTATCCCCCCACCATGTCTTTTTCCCAAAATTTTACAACCCCAAATATCCCCTCACACAAAAGGGCCACACGGTGTCCCCTCACACTAGTACTTCCCACCCAAGGCCATCACTGGGGTCTCCCCACACTATATCTCTCACACAAATGTCTTTACACAAAATAGTGTCTCACAAAAAGGTTTACCCTGTGGGAAACCCGGTCCTTTACAAAGTGCATCAAAAAACTTGTGTCCCCCACATTAGGTTTTTCACACTAGTGTCCCCTCACAAATGTCCTTAAAACACTAGCGTCCACAAAACGCTACGTCTCACACAAAGCCGTCCCACACTAGTGGGGTCACATGCAGCGTTTACACACCAAATGGCTCACACACTAGGTCTCACACACTAGTGTCCACACACACTAGTGCCACACACAGTTTTCCCCAAAACAAATAGTGTCACCCCACACTATTTTCCTCCCCACACTAGTGCACACACACAAAATGTCCTCACAATATGTCTCACCAAATAATGTCACACACACTATGTCACACACAAATGGGCTCCCCACATAAAGTGTCCTCACCACCTTAAAAATGCTCACACACTTGTCTCACACCCCTAGTGTTCCCCGGGTTTACACACTAGTGTCTTCCCCAAACTAGTGTCCACACACTAATTTAATTAATTTTCCCCAATTTCCCCCAAACTTTTCCCCACATACTCCCCGTGGTTCCCCCTTACACACAAAACTGGTGTCCACACACAAGTGCTCACACACTAGTGTTCCACACTAAGTCACAAAACACGGGGTCCCACACACTAAATTTTTTACACTAGTGTCCCCCCACACAGTGTCCCCACAACAAATAGTCCCCTTCCCCACAAAATGTCCCACAAAAACTAATGTCTTTACACACAAATTGGGCTTTTCCCCCACCCCAAATTTCTCACAAAAACCCAATGTCTCACACCTAGTGGGCAAAACACACTAAAGGGCCTTACACAAAAATTTGTGCCCCAAAAAACTAGTGGCCCCCCCCACACACGGTAGTGGGCACACACAAATAAATGTTTATTTCACCCCACTAGTGACACACAAACTAGTGTCACAACACTATGTCTCATGCACCCATGTCCCCACACACTAGTGTCTCCCCACACTAGTGTCTCACACAATAGTTTTCACGCCCCACTAGTGTCCACAAAAACACTAGTGTTCACACACCAGGTCCCCACACGCTAGTGCCCCCACCCAACGTCTCCACACTAGTGTCCAAAACACCTAGTTTCAAACACACTGGGAACACACACTGGGGTTTTCACACACTAGTGGGCACACACACTAGTGTCTCCCACACAGTGCCCACCACTTTTGGGCCCCCACACAAATAGTGCCCCCAACGCTAGTGTCAAAACACACTTGTGTCACACACACACTAGGGGTCTCACGCAATAAATGGCCCTGCACACTATGGCACAAAACAATGTTCACAAAACTAAATTCCCCCCACACTGAGGTCCCCATTAAATGTTCCCCAACACACTAATGCCCCTCATAGTAGTTTTCACACACAAAGTGTCCCCAAAACACAATGGGTTTCACACACTGTTCCCCACACTAGGGGTCACGCACACTAGTGTCACACCCACCTAGTGTCTCAAAAACCCATGGCCCCCACCATAGTGTCCCCACACACAAGTGTCACACCACACAAAAGGGCCCCACCCAAATGCACATACACATTGGGTCACCACACACGTTCACACACCCCGGTGGCACACCCACTAGTGGCCCCACACACTAGTGTAAATCACACTATGTTCACACACTGGCCAAAAACACTATGTCACACACCTAATTTTTCACTCATATATTTTCACACTCCCCTGTGGCACACACAACCCAGTGTTCACACACTAGTGTCAAGCACACTGGGCACAAAACACCCTATTTTCTCCCCCCTGTCCCCACACGTAGTGTCCCCCACACACGGGAACACCCCACACTGGTGTCTAACACACTATGTCCCCACACACTAGTGTCTCCACACACTATGTCCACCACAAAATGCCTCACACACTATGTCAAAAAAAACCAAATAGTTTTTCACCACCAACCATGTTGCCCCCACTTTGTGTCAAAACACTAGTTTTTCCCCAAACACACTAGGTCCCCCACAAAACACTAGTGGCTCAAAACCCCTAGTGTCACACACACCTTTTCAACACTGGTAATCTCACACACTAGTGGGCCCCAAATATGTCCCCAACAAAACCCTGGTTTACACACAAGGTCCTCACACACTATGTCCTCACACACTAGTGTCCTCACACACTAGTGTCATGCACACTAGTGCCACAACACCAAAGTCTTTACAAACTAGTGTCACACACACTAAATTTTCCCCACCACAGTGTTCACAAAACAAAACTAGTGTCACACACACTAATTTTTCACAAACCCCCCCCCTAAATGTCCCCTCCCCACTAGTGTCTCACCCCACTCACAACCCATTAGTGTCCCAAACCCCTAATGCACCATAAAGTAGTGGGCAACTCCCCCAAAATAGTGTCACCTCACACTAATTTTTCACCAAAAACTATGCACACACACACAGTGTCCCCAAAACACTAGGGTCTCCCACACACTAGTTTCACACACTAGTGTCCCCCACAAAACAGTGTCTCCCCAAAACTAGTGTCTCACACACTAAACCCCCAAAACACTGTGTCCCCCACAAAAATTTGTTGGGCTCACAAACTAGTGCCCCACACACTAGGGCTCACACACCAAGGGTCAAAACACTAGTGTCCCCCCACACCCCAAGTTCTCACACACTAGTGCCCCACACACTATGTCTCACAAAACTAGGTCTCACAACAAATGCTCACACAACTATGGGCAACACCTAGTGGGGCCTCACACACAAATGTCCCCTACACACAAATGTTTTCACAACAAATGTCACCAAAACCTAGTGGGCTCCCCACACCCAGTTTCCCCACACACTAGTGTCACACACAACTATGTTTCCCCAAACTAGAGTCACAAACTTATGCCCCACACCTAGTGTCAACTCACTACTGTCTCAAAAAACTAGTGTCTCACCCCACAAAAGGGCCCCATACACTATGTCTCACCCAAAAAGTGCCCCACCCTAAGGGGCACCCATACATGTCCCCCACACCCAGTCCCCCACACACCCCCATTTTTCCAACTATGTCTCAAAAACTGTGTCAAAACCCACAGTGTCTCACCGTCCTCAACAAATAATTCTCAAAACTATGTCCCTACACACTAGTGTCTAACAAACCCAGAGCTCCCACACTAGTTTTCCTCATACAAATATCTCACAACCCCT